TGGTGCAAATTACTGACCTCTGTCATCATTTTAAGTGGGGGAACTTGCACAATCGGTGGCTGACTAAATACTTTTTTGCCCCACTGTATGTTAGGTTAACTGTTGATTGACTGTTAGTGTGAATGTGAGCGTGAATGGTTGGTCTGTCTCTATATGTTAGCCCTGTGACAGACTGGTGTACTGGCTACGGGATATACTCCGCCTCTACCTCTATGACACCCAGGCTCCAGCCGAACCTTGACCCTGAATTAGACAAACGGTCAAGAAAATGAATGAATGAATGAAATCTTGACTGTAACTCAGATATAGTCACTGCAGTGTTGCCCACCAGTTTCTTCCATGTTCCTATCAGTCTGAATGAGTCTTTGCAAAGAGCACAACTGGAGGGGACTCAACTCAGCTGATAGCCAGAGGTGATTGTATTTTGGTTATATATAGAACAAGGAAAGCTGCTCAGTGCAGAAGTAATAATTGAGTGTGAATTTCCACCTATGTAGACAACAGATTTATCAGAGTCAACTGTTGAATAATCAGAAACCAATCGTATCTAATTGCCAAATCGACCCTATTCCATCACAGACCCACTCCGTCTTATGGCAACATTTAAGGCAGGATTTAGAGCATGTTGTTATGCTTGACAATCTCATTTTGCAGCAAATAAATACATAAAATGACTGGCCAGGCTGTTAGTACAGTTAAAACTATAATATTTGTCACATAAATAACAAAGGCAAGGGCTTCCAGACAGCCATGCTCCTAATAATGCAGAACTTTGTTATCGTTTAACCATGACGATTATATAAAAATCCTGTTCAGCTACAGACTGAAACTGTTCTTATAGCAGGCTGTAAACATGATTATTTCTACTGTAGACTTGGGCACTCTAACATCAGGTCTGTGGGGGCTGAGCCCCAGTGGGCCACTAGAAGAACTCAAGTTTTCTGTGAGTGATGAGTTTGCTTTTTCGTGACCACTAAGTCAGCATATCTCACTAAAGAAGACCATGATGTGTTACTAAATGATCCTGAAAGCTAGCAAGTGGATTTTTGCCCTTATATTGTTACACTGACGTGGCTGCGGCTCAGGTGGTCGAGTGAATGGATGAATGAGTGAATTAGCGACCCACTGTAAAGCCCTTTGTGGAACAGATAAGGTTAAAAGGTTCCATATGAGTGCAGAGCACTTAGCATTTAAGTACAGACCATATGCTGCTCCCATAGGTCAGGACTAAAACTCCCTACATAAATCTTACAAAGATGCCTTTCCTGTAAATATTTCAGCAAACAGCTGCTCTCGTGCACGGATTTGTCATCACTTCCAATTAAAATGAGCATATTTGGCTGCTGATCACACGCAAGTTAGAGCAACTGTGTCTTGGACTGGCTTTAGTGGAATCCCCATCAAATTAAATTCATCTACCTGCTCCAAAAGAGTCGGAAAAATCAGAACAGGCCTTAAAACGCGGATGTTCACTGTGTGTTCGTCATCAATGTGTGTGTCTGTCTGTGATGTGATGCTGTTGTCATTCGTTTCAGGAAGCGGGAAGCCATTTTTTGGAAATATGCGGGCAAGCAGACAGAAACGCACACAAACCATCAATTTTGAGCAACTGTCTACAAGACAGTCAATAAGTGTAGTGACAAAAGTTTCTC